TAATATTTCAAGACATTTATATATAAAAAAATCATAAAACACTCTTTTGTCTAAATTATTGAAAAACACCACGCCAAAATATGTATAAAAAGCGTAGTGCTTTCCAATAATTTATTTAGCTAACTTTTAGATTGAACTTAAAATTGAATTTTGTGGTCATAATGTAGACTTCATAGAAAACATGTTTACAAATTTTCATCAAAAATCTCACGAAAGCACCTCATCAAATAATTCCACCCAAAAGTTATTAGTTTAGGGCCGAAAAAATCAGCACACTCAGACATATTAGTTAAGCGTCATGCCCCTCGTGTGATAAACGGAATTGAAACATATTTCGTACTTTGTTAAAAATAAAATGAAACACATGCCCCTATTTGAGAACGGGACAAACTACAAGTACATTTTCCATACTTTTCCTTTTTTTTCTACTTCAACAATTTCGTACAATTTAACCGGAAATGCAATTCCAACCTTACTAATCAATACGCAAAATCGAAAGTTTTATATTTGGTACAACGGTAGGTTGATATGACTTATAAGGCAAAAAATAGGTGTAACCAAATGAGATCTTAGATGAGAAAATTATTTATATAGGATTAAAACATAAACAAAGTGCACATATGGGACTATCGTTGCTTTCTTTCTAAAATATGACTTATCCACTCCTAACAGGGAAATTTTTATACTTTTAATAGGATAAAATGAGTCCTATTTCGGGAATAAAATACATATAGTCTTATTTGTGCGTTTTATCTAAGTTTGAGTCCTATTTAGAGCAATTTCTAATCTTAGATTACCACTACGTAGTACATATGTATAGTAAGGATGTTTTTAGTCAGACTTATTTTAATCTCAGATCAAAACTAACCAGACTTAAATAGACCAGACGTCGATAGTTTTACAATACACATAGACTAAACATTTACCACAATAGACAAGTTCAAACCAAACCAGATTAAACCAAACCAGAAAAATCAATCCAATTTAAAACATTAGCATCACCATGATTATTCATTAATGAAGGATCTTTAAATTTCTTCATGTTAAGGTATGGAGTACCTCTCTCTTTGAATGTCCCTTTGAGCAAGCATTAGAGTCAAGATGAGAGCTAGCATTGCGCAAAATGCATGCTTCAATGTGTGGCCGCTCACTGTATAACGAGTCAAGAAGTACGTTGGCCTATCGGCAATTTCATGAATTCTGGCCATCTGAAAACATCCTGCATCATTTATTTAAAAATAATGATGACACTCAGAACCATATTACTAGAATCAAAATTCTACGGGTTAAAAAGTAGACATACATTACACATGGAACTTTTAAAAAATGTCCAAGATTGGTATAAGACCTTAGATTACATCCTAAAACTTCAAAATGATAGGAAGAGTAGTTCAGGATCTTATATAGTATTTTATTATTTCATATCATTCCGGTGTGGAACATTTACTACAACACGCCCCCACATCCTAAACCGGATTGGACAACATCAAGATGTATAAATGGGATAAACAAACCCTTAACAAACTACCCTTAATTATGAGTGCTAAACAAGCAATCAAATCACAATCGAACATGGTTTTGATATCATTTTAAGACCCGATGTTCCATCTTATATATAATGTAATATTTTATTATTTCATATTATTCCAGTGTCAGATATTCACTTTAACAAATGGCAACCTAAGTAGAACATGATCGCAAAAAAAACGTTAAACCGCTTAAACACGAAAAGGGGGAAATGACATTATAAAAATTAGTATGCAAGTCTGGGGAATGTGTAAGTATTTATTTTGAATATTTTTAATAAAAATTAGTACTTAGTATATATCAATATTTTTTTCATATGCATGCGTGTGTATGCATTTTATTTCATATTTTTCTGATAATTTTGTTTTTATTGTAATGAAAATCACAACCAATTCAATAAAAAGCAATATGCATTACCAAAAAACGATAGAGACATTCAGGCGATCTTAGCAAATTATGCTCGTTGAGGCGGAGGTGGTATTGGCTTGTTGATGCATTCAGTCTCTCATTATCCCTCATAAGACTTCCAACTATATTTTCGAAAAGGGCAGCTCCAACAAGGTTCGAAGCCACAATCGTGTTATCGAATACAAAAGTCGATATTTATCTTATAAATTTGTTAAAGAACTAATAGCTAGTAAATACGGAGTATTACATACTCCCTACGGTCCTAAATAAACTTCACACTTTCCTTTTGGGTAGGTTCAAAATAAACTTCACACTTCTATTTTTGGCAACTTTTTATTATAAAGTTACCCATATACCCTTACTTTATTATCTACTTTACACCAACTTTCTCTTTCCCACTACACTTTATCCACTTTTTGTAGGGATATGATGGGAAAGTCAAAACAAAAAATTCCACTTTCTTAAAAACCGTAAAGTCAAACCATGAAGATATAATGTTTTTTTGAAAGAAAGTGGCTTATTAAATAATCAGAACTTATGCAAGTTACATAACGTCAAAAAGTCCTCAGTTGACCGTGTGCCCTCGAACCAGACTTTAAGACTTGAAGCAATAAGACTCATAGATCCTATAATGGGCTTACCTGACCCAATGATGAACAATCCAGACTCCTTATCACCTGACTTAAATTCTAAAGTTTTGCTACTCGAAAACAAAAACACAATGTAAACAACATTCAGTTCGAAATAAAAGCATGCAATAAAAATAGAAGAAATTAAATAAAGATGTCCTCCCAACCACACGAATAGCCAGATCTTCACAAATCTGGATGGGTCTGAGAACCAACACCCGCCACTGCCCCGTTTTAAGTTCATCAAGAGCCATTTCTTCCGCCTCAGGGTCTTCATTCACTTGCTCTTCCAACATACACCTCCTCTTCTGATCTCCCGACCCTACTTCGCCACCATCCAATCCCAAGTCTCCTCCTCCATGTGACGAGAGCTCAGCGGCTCCTAATCCCACCTGGCATTATAATCCATCTTGCTTGCTTCTGTTGTTAAGGCTCCCTCTTGGACCAACCACTTGTTGCCTAAAGAGGGACATTGTCCCCCCCCCCCCCCTCTCGGAGTCCTGGTCCATTGGCCAGAAAAACTCCATGCACAAAACAGAAACTAGATAGCTTTTCATACTTAAAATCCACCCAGTAGCCCCTCCCCTTTACCTTTCTTAATAGTAGTACCAGTCTTTAGCGGTTTGCCTATGTCCATACAAATTCTAATCCGTATATATGCCTCCTATTTGTCATCATATTGATTATCATCCCATTTAACAAAAGTCCAAAAATAGTTTCCAATATGCCTAGCAGTTGCTAAATTGAAATAGCCATAGTGTACATTATGCACTTGTACCCAGAATTCAACCAAGTTCAAGGGTACCCTACAAAGAATATCCCCTGGTTCTATGACTCTTAAAACCAACAAATTTTGTTCAAATAGCCAAGGTCCCATTATCAAGAACACGCTTCATGTCAACAATATGATAAAATTTAATTAGATACCTCTGTTCTCCAATTTCTTTAATAGAAACGCCATTTCCTGGCATGGGGGCCATAAAGCCGCCATCAAGTCCCTAAATGTTTGGAACTTCACCATTTTATCTGTTAACAAAGTGCCGAACACCTGATACGTCTGCTCCCTGCGATCCTCTATGCTGAGATTGTTGTCATCCTCATCGAGCACCAGTTCATCCTTCTCATTCCCAATCTCCAACTTGTTGCACTGCCCTATCAACTGACCCATCTTCCGTACGTTCGACGACGCCATCCTCTCACTGCTGCTGAACACCCACAAAGTCGTATGCCTCTTCTTCGTCTCCCCACCAAGGAAAATCGCCGAAGGACAAACGATGATACAAGCGCTGCCCAATCGCTAAGATTGGCGGATGTGAAACCCTAACTAGAGGGAAAACGGCCGCTTATTATTACAGATAATCTAAATATTCAAATATAAACATTCTTACATAGTACTACATACATTTAAGTACATAATTAAACATAGAATGTTATACAATTACCAAGTTGCTAGGAACAAATCCCATAAACATACTTGCTAATCAAGAGCAATTTCGTCAAAAGAGAGCTTGATTTGAAATAAAGAGAAGACTGCCCGACTCTGTCATCGAAGGGGAGATTGGTAGGAATCAAAGTAAATAAGATTATTTGAGCATCTCTGAAGTTTGAATAAAAAGAGGGAAAACCACTGAACATAAAGACAAAGAAATAAACTGCGCATTAACGCAAATTGAACACAAAGAGGGAGATTGTTAGAAATATATTTTATTGTGTCCAATTGCATTAGTTATCTTTGCATTTGTGTATTAAATAGGTTAGTTATTAGACCCAGCCATCTTTGTGTTAGGAATATATTTTATCATGGTTCTAAAAATCAGTGTCTAGGCGCCGCCTAGTCAATAAGCGGTGGCCGGGGGCCTCGATTTTGTTGTAATCGGTGGAAAAAATCGTTTAGACGCCTAGGCGGGCTGGTAAAAAAATTCCGACCCAACTTATTTGTCTCGTTTATCTTAAACCATCGTCTGATAAAAAAGTATTCTAATCTAACATGATTTATTTTCATATTATTCCTACAATTAAAAATAAGCTTCAAAAATATATAAACTTCTTAGAATGTATTTTAACATTTTTAGAGACTAAAAACAAATATCTTAATCTATCTATAAATTATTTCATTATTGATGATTTTACTATAAAAAAATAATATTTAATGATTGTATATATGAGCTATATCTATTCTCAAAATATTATAAAAGTATTAGTAATATAATTAAGATTCAAATGAAATAAAAATAAAAAAATGAAATAAATTAAAGGGGAAATACTTAGGCGCCCTAGTCGGCGCCTAAGCGGGCTGATGCTAGGCAACCAGTCACCCCCGACTAGCGCCTTTTAGAACAGAGTATTTTAAAAGGAGGAGTTGAGAGCGTTCTCTCTCTAGCCACTCGCGGCTAGTTTCTTCTCCTCAAGGCTTCCGGCACCGCCGTCCTTGGTGGTGCTCCAGTTGGCTTGGTGCTTGGGTTAGGCTAATATCTTTGGAAATATTTTGGCTACCTCACTGCGACTGGATGGGGTCCTGGGTTCTTGGTTGAAGGTCCATGGCCGATGCATCAGGGATGCAAGCAAGTCCAGATTCAGGCGGATGCGGCCAGATGGGTTCCGATGGTTTCACAACCATGGGTTTATGCTTCAGAAGATGACCGTTGTGTCCATTCTCATCTTTTCCTCTTCATTCACGGACGTAGCACCGGTACGGTTGGGGAATGCTAAGTATTCAAAGAACAGTGGATGGGGACGCTCGTTAATGGTCCTTAGCTTCCCAGTATGTTTTGGATCATGTTTGCTTCTCTCGCTGCTTCAGAGAGCTTGCAGATGCTCACTTACCAAGGATGATGGCGTTTACCGTGGCAGCTTCGGGTGGAGGGGTCCCGGAGCAGTTCTTTCATGCGGCCATCGTTCCTCCACTGCTTCATTACGGATCTCGCGCTGGGCCAAAGCCGGGTTTTGGAGTTCGCAGCCCCCGACGGCCATCTTCTGAAAAATAAGGTGTTCTTACTCTGGTACGTCTTCTTGTTAGTCAACCAGTCTGGCCGTGGATGCCTTTTTTCAGGATGAGCTTTGCATTTTTCTTACTTCATGCCTAGTGACATCTTGACGTTGGGGTTTGGGGTCTCTTCTCTGTTCGTGGTGGTTTTAGCCAGGGAAGACGACTGATGGGTGTCCCGGCATGGGATCTCTCACTGTGGATCTATGGTGTGGACTGTTGTTTGGTTCATGGTGTTTGGCACTTTTCCAGCTACTGTTAATCGCTGCTGAAAGCCTTCTGCCGACGCCGCTGGGGGCTGCCGGGGCTCGACGGGGGTAGAAGGTGGCAGGTGGATTTTCGATTAGCGTGATTTTCTACGGCTGGTTCTTTGCCCTCCTCTCTGGCCACCAGACTGTTTGGGGGACGCCGGAACCCAGATGGGGTGGTGGGGGGTGGGGGTGGGGGGGTCTGGTGGGTCAGAGGTTTTGGTTTGCCGCTCTACACTGTGGCGCCCCTTCGTAGCGATGGACGGGTCTGGGCTGACCCGGAACACAGCCAACCCTAGCTCGCTAGAGTGTGCTGTGGACTTGGGCTGGATACAGGCCTGGATTGCTGCGGACAAAGCTGGGCCTCCTCCATTTGTTGGCTGATCTTGACACAGGAAGCTGGGCTTCGCTGTTTTGACGGGCCTTCGGGTTCTTGGACTGGTTATTCATGGGCCAGTCCGTTTTTGTTTACTTGACTTTTTGATACGTGTCGGGCCTGTCCCGTGCCGTTTGGATACTATTTTGTTAGTTCTCGTACTAGCTTAGATAGTTTTGACACATTGTAATATGTTATTTTTTGGGTGTTTTAATATACTTACATTTCATCCAAACAAAATAGAACAGAGTATTTTATATATCTATTTTCGTTATTTATTCTTTTATTTGGGTATTTAATAGGTTAGTTATTAAACTCAGGCAAGTATGTTTTAGGCCCGTAATCATTTTGTATTACAAAAGTCTAACTTTCAGTTATTATTTAAGCCTAAAGTTGTTCAACGTATCTATACTTTCCGAAGAGAGGAGCTGCTATTTCACTGTTGCATTCAATACTCGATCTGTAATTCTTCATATCTATCGTATTTAATACACCATTATTGTTCATCTAGTCTCTTATTTGTGCTTTTATTGATGTGATTCTTTGATAAACTAAAACCCACTATTATTCAACATAATAAGCATGATGTCCTGATGGATTGAACCGTCATGAGGGGAGAGTAGTTCACGTGAATCAAACCTCAACACATCATTATCGAACATATATCTCCTCCGAATAAGTGACGGGTTACTTCAACGAACTCGCACTCCTAATTTCTTGATGACTTCATCAGCTGCTAAATCGTTCTTGGATTCATCTGAAGAGCTCAGGTCCTCCATCACAAACATTATTGCAAAGAATTTGAGCTACAATTCAATCTCCACGATCTACAAGTCCTACCAAATCAGCTTCAATCAAGTGGTCAACACACTCTAAAATTCACTCATCATTCATGTTGCGCCACCAACAAGTGCTCCTCAAATTATATCAGATCAAATAGTTAAAAAACTACACTGTAGAGGAGACTTGGATTGGACAATATGAAATAGAAAGATAAAGCTTGCTCCCATGTTAATTCCATCAGAACAATCAATCTAGATGCGACACTAGACTTCATTCATTCTGATCAAGATCAACTTCGACAAAAAAAGGAAGCTGGTTTGAAATAAAAGGGGAGACTGCTACACTCCATCATCAAAGGGGAAATTGTTAAGAATCAAATTTAGACAATGTGATTTGAACATCTCTGAAGTCTGAATACAAATGAGGAAGCCGGTCAACACAAAGACAAAGATACCTTTGCTTCAACGCAAATTGACACACAGGGGGAGATTGTTAGGAATATATTTTGTTGTGTCTATTTTCATTATTTATCCTTGTATTTGTGTGTTTAATAGGTTAGTTATTAAACTGTTTCAGGTCAATTTTAGGCTCGTAATCCGTTTGTAATACGGAAGTCTAAGCTTCGTTTATTGTTTATTAGTTGAAGACTAGACTTCTGTAACCCTAACGTTGTTCAACGCATCCATATTTTCCATAGAGAGGAGCCGTTGTTTCACTTTTACATTGAATAATTGAGCTGTAATTCTTCAACTCTATTGTATTCAATACACCATTATTGCTCATCTACTCTCTGCATAGTGCTTTTATTGTTGTGATTCTTGAATAAACTGGAACCCACACTTTGTATTTGGGATCGTAAGCTTCATGTAATACGGAAGCCTAACCTTTAATTGTTATATAGCTGAAGGATACGCTTCCTTTATCCTAACTTTCACATTCATGCATTCATATTTAATAGAGAGCGTCACACCTCTCTATTTGAATACCTTGTTCATTGTCACCCTTAATATTATTATTGATATTTAATATGCCATTAAAACTTTCTTCTACTCTCTCCAGTATGCATTTCTTGCTTCATTGTTGGATTATATGTGATTAACATATACTAGTATAATGTTGTTGATTGTCCCTTAAATGTTATAAATGCTTTGAATAACAACATATTAACATTTTATTCTCCGTTTATATCTTTGATGAGAAATGATTTTATCTTGTCATCCTCTTTTACATCGATGGTAATCTAGTAAAATTTGGTAACTACTAACTATTCTTCAACATTTATCTTATCATCCTCTATTCCTCTGGATGGTTTGCCTACTGGGATAGCAAAACAATTCACACACACACGTGTGTGTGCATGTGTGTAGGGTGCGACTCTAGTAAGAAGAATCATGTAGGTAAGAATGAGAATGAATTTGAATCGTCGAAATTGATTATGTTAATAGAAAAGAGCTTCACAATGCACTAAAAATGCAACTATGTGTGGTGACATTTTTGTAAATATTTTTAAAAACCATGTTTTGCATCTCTTTAGTGTAATATGAAGTTATTTTAGTGCAACATCATTAAATTCTTATGCAACATGAAGTTATTTTAATGCAACTTTGTCAATTTCAGATTTTATTGAAAAATGAAAATGTTTTAGTGCAACAACGTCAATTCAACGGCCACGGTTCATTCTTGTTTTCAATTCAGATTAAATGCATTTATCACTCAAGCAGACACGCGCGCGCACACACTGTTCTAACAATTGCTCTAGGCGCCCGACTAGTCCATGCCTAGGCGCTAGGCGGGGGCCGGGCGCCCCAATTTTAGTCTAAGCGCTCCGACTAATTGATTTGGCGCCTAGGTGAATTAGTCGGCCACCTAAGGCGCCTAATTGCCCGCCCAAAGCACTTAATCGGCCGCCTAGGCGTCTATATTCGTCGAACATTTTTTTTATTTTTTATTTTATTTTAGTATATTAAGATATATGTGTACCTTTAACTTTAACAATTCAAATGAAGAAAGTAACTAATTGTAGATTAAGATAAAAACAATACATGTTTATATATGATCTTAAGTGTTATTATTATTATTTAATAAAATTTATTACATGTGATATCTCTATCATTCATGCATGTCAATGTGTGTGTTTTTATACACACAAACACAACATTACTAATCATATTTATGCAAAAATATTGAAAAAACTATAATTTTTATGTCTCCGACTAGTCCCCGCCTAGCCACCTAGGCGTTAGGCATTGGGCTAGCGCTCGACTAGCGCCTAGCACCTTTTAAAACATTGTGTGTGTACACAACATTTATAAAATATGATGAAACAAATAGCGTGGAAGGAGTGGAATGAAGAAAGGCAATTCAAATTATGTTATATATAAACCTGCAGCCCACAACCAATACGAAGAATGTGTATATCTTGGAGGTACCACAATGGCCATTAAAACAACAGCTACCCTTGGAACCGTCTCCAGTATAGCATAAGGGCGCAAGTCATCATAATACCTGCAATATAACCATGTGATATGTGAACATACATGCATGAATGTACACACAAACACACGCGAGCGCGCGCGCACACACACACATACATATATACTACCTTCGTTTTTAAATATGTGCAACATGTTGAATTTTACATTATTCACATTTTCTAATTTGACTGTGTTGTATTATTAATGTATTAATAATTTTTTTGAAAAAAATACTGTTAAATTTGTCTCGTACTAAATTTTAAAAATCTGATTTTATTTTTAATTTTTTACTAATAGAATTTATATGTATTAATGGTCAAAGTTGTATATCGGAAAATGTGAAAAGTTAATCGTTGCACTTATTTATCAATAATTGAGCAAGTGTGTGTGTGTGTGTGTGTGTGTGTGTAGGTGTATCCCACTGACCTAGTGGTTTCCCCACGTGGATAAAAAATATGAATTAGTATATGTGTAGTGGCGGCTTTGGCGGCTTTGGGGGTGAGTTACCCTAAGAAAGTGATCATAATGTACTCAAGCTATTATAATTTATTGTAAAAAGTTCTTCATTTCTAAAATCATATTTATTTTTTCTATATATATATATATAGGTGTATCCCACTGACCTAGTGGTTTCCCCACGTGGATAAAAAATATGAATTAGTATATGTGTAGTGGCGGCTTTGGCGGCTTTGGGGGGTGAGTTACCCTAAGAAAGTGATCATAATGTACTAAAGCTATTATAATTTATTGTAAAAAGTTCTTCATTTCTAAAATCATATTTATTTTTTCTATATATATATATATAGGTGTATCCCACTGACCTAGTGGTTTCCCCACGTGGATAAAAAATGTGAATTAGTATATGTGTAGTGGCGGCTTTTGGGGTTAGTTACCCTAGGAACCGTGCCTAGGGGCCCCACCTCTAAAGGGCTCCCATTTTTTATATTTTTTGTAAATAAATAAATAAATAATAGTGAAATTAATATTAATAACTAACATAAATGAATATTAATATGCACTACTTTCGGACAATTTGAGTTTAACTTGTTTATTTAGTTTTTCAAATAGCATTGAATTTTCTTTTTAAAGTAAGCGATTTATAATGTTAAATGTTTTAGAGACACGTGAAAAGTCCTACTGATTAGTTTATGTTTTTATATCATTTAATTTACTCTTAAGTAATGCTACATTTTTTTAGAGAAATTGTTTTTAATGTTCTTCATTAAATAATAAGAAAGTGATCATGATGTACTAAAGCTATTATAATTTATTGTAAAAAGTTCTTCATTTCTAAAATCATATTTATTTTTTCTCTATATATTCAAATCTTTCATGTGCTGATTGTTTTAAAATGCAATTTTATTTAGACTACAAACAAATTGATAATGTTTTTATTTAAAAGGGAAATTTTTAATTACATACGGAGTATAAATTACTATCATCGTCCCACAAAATTTGGTCGAATTGACTTTGTTTGATCAATGGTAGTAAATTTTGGACGACACTGATAACTCTAGTTATTATATTTGTATGAGTAATTGAGTATATAAACTCTAACTTCAATCTTTTAACTATATGGGTGTATCCAAAGGAGGAAGAGAGTTTCACGTACGCCTCCTAAATCCTCCAATTGGTAGACTACTATATGAACTCAGAACCCGGTCTTGTAATCATTGTGCTCAGACAATAACCTACATACGTTCGATAGTTAGTCTTATCATACTATACATTCAAATATTCATTTATGCATATTAGATTAGCTTTTATGTAATTTATTAGTCCTTTATGTAATTGGACCTATTAGGACCAAATGGCACCTCATTAGTAGTCCAGACCATGTTTCCCCTTTAAATACTAGCTCCCCTTGAGAGCATGTAAGAAGATTATTCATAATATACACTACTCACTTCTCTTTAATTCTAGCTTTCATTCTCTCTAGAAATTAATCAACATAAGGGAGTTACAGTTTGAAGATGGATTGCATGAGATGAGAACGTGTAGTTTATTCAAGGCCAACAGGAAGCGGTGGTAGAAGATTGGTCACCGTTGTTAATGGATGTGCGCGGTGGGAGTGCGTGAAGTGATGGTTTACGCAAAGGAGAAAGGTTAGTCACGTACGATCGTTGAAACCAATGCTTTCCTAGTCGTGTCTGAGATTCAGGGGGGTCAAGTTTATTTTCTTGATGATATTAGACTAATGTTGCTATCTGATGAGAGCATTATATATTGTTAGTTATTGTTGGCGATTTGCGAATTGTGCTGCTCATATTTTTGCTAGAGCTGAAGTTTCTTTATCAGGCTGCAAAGTCACCTATTCTATGGTGCTTGAATGCGTTGTAAGCAAGTTGACCAATGATTGCTTGATCTAATATAGTTTAAATGTTTTTCACAAAAAAAGATAGGGAAAAGTAGCAAATCAGCCCTCGAACTAAATTAAAAAGTGCAAATCTCCCCTTTTATGGGAGGCTCTGTCCAGCCGTCGCCATTTGTGGTGGTTCCCGGTAGAGTTTTTTGATGAATTGTTTTGAGAATCTTCTTCATTAAGTCTAGTTTACCCATACCAAATTTCAGCTAAAACTTCAACCGGATTGTCTTCAAAAATTCATTTGACTGCCAACCCGATTGATTTTTTAGTTGAAATTTGGTATGGATAAACTAGACTTAATGAATAAGATGCTAAAAAAATTCATCAAAAATTCCACCTGAGAACCATCTCAAATGGCGACGGCCGGATAGAGCCTCCTATAAAAGGGGTGATTTGCACTTTTTAAGTTAGTTCGAGGGCTGATTTGCTACTTTTACCTATCCTTTTCTGTGGAAAACATTCAAACTATATTAGATCAAGCAATTATTGGAGCTCAAGTGTTGCTATCACATGAGAACACACACATTTAACTCAAGCTGATTCAAACTATAATCGTTCGAGGGCCGGATATATGGTTAGCTATCACATGAGAACACACACATTTAACTCAAGTGTTGCACAACGGAGCTCGCGCAGTTAAATAAATGTGATTGCATTTTGGTAAATATTGTGGTAACGCGACAAAAGTGCAACGGAATAGTTTCATTGCGCATCACATTGGGGGAAGTGTGTGTGTTCTCACGTTTTCAAAATGACTATTTTTCTTATTTGATCTTATATATATATATATATATATATAGTGTGTGTTTGAAAATGTTGTTTAACGTGAAAAGTATAAAATTTTCACTTTTATACGATTGCATTGCACTTTCAGGATCAAATATTGCACTTTTTCTCGATGGCAAAAACATTCACTATTTAGGAAAATGCCATCAAATTATATTATAACTTAACCTGTTGCAGTGTTGGCACTTTGGGAGCCATCAAATCCAGGGGCAGATTTGCCAGGTCCGGGGCGCCGGTGCCCATGCTTCGGCCGTATGAGCTAAGGTATAGGTAGGGTTTGGGGCCACTGGACTGGTCCGTTCCATTATTTCCATTATTTAAGGTAGACGACGGACGACGTCGTTTGGAGGAGCCCAGGGGAAAAAATAAAGGGCTAGTCGGGCCAAGGCAGGCCCAACACTCAATAGCCTAAACAAAGCATAGACCAAGCTAAGAACAGCGCCCAAAACACAGTTATGCAGAATTGCATAAAAAAGGAAATGCAGCGCGCAAGGAGCCAAGTCCCGTCGTCTCGTCGTGTCGCCGACTGCCATGGTTCCGTCCCACCGTCCTCCCCCGTCGTTAGATAGTGTTGGGAATATTTATGTGTCCAATCTAGTTAAATATCTTTGTGTTTGTGTAGTTATTAATTAAATGTGTAATATGGGCCACAATTGTATATCAGCCCATTAGTTCTCTTGTAAGCCTTAAGTTAGACTTCCTTACCTATAAAAGGAAGCTAACTTAAGAGAAAACCTAAGGCATTAGAGAATAGAGGCAGACTAGAGATAGAGTAGTTTCACGGTGCTCTCTCTCTCTCTCTCTCTAGAGAGAGAGAGCAGCGGCCCATTTCATACGGTGTACCAAAGTTCTCGACATTTATGTATTGAATGTGAAATCTATCTGCTTCTTCTTTCATTTCTATGATTGTTTGGTTGTTAGAAATAGGGACTAACATGTGGTATCAGAGCCGAGGCGTGAAATAGATTGAATCCATCTACGATTTTTCGGATCTGCCTTCAGCGACGAAGACCAAGTTGTTCGAAATGTTGTTTTTCGATGTTTTGGTTTGATGATATGCTTTTGACGATTTTCAAAAATTTCTAGAAGATTAGGATCGAAACCCGTTTGAAAACAACCTGCAACTTCATTTGTAACAATTTTTTGTCTTTACAGTTGCAGATTTTCGAAGCTTGGTGGTTCTCGAAGTTTGGAAGTTTTTCGATGTTTTCGCATTTTAACCTCTGAAATCTTGTTTTTGATCCAATCGTTGTAAAAGTTATACTGTTAGAATCGCCTCTCAAAACCGATCAAGCAGTGTATCTTCATTTTTTATTTCTGTAATTTTCGAATTTTTGATTTCTCGATATTGTCTTATCCAAAAACAGGTTTCTCGCAGGTGATGTTCGAAAACATGTTTCTCGCGGGTTGAAGTTCGAAAACATGTTTCTCCACATTCAATATCGAAACAGAATTTTTCAATATTCAACATCGAGAAAAAGTTTTTGATATTCAAACATCGAGAAGACATTTTCGATATTCAAACATCGAAAAGACGTTTTCGATATTCAACATCAAGAAGACGTTTTTTATATTCAACATCGAGAAAAGGTTTTCGAGGTCCAACATAGAGAACCTCAACTTCGAAAAAGTTCTCAATGTTCAAAATTCAAACTTTTCAACGTCCTGCACTGTTTTGGACATAACTTTTGACTCGGTGATCCGATTTACGCATATAATACCTTTTCGGAAAGCTAATGAAAAGATCTACATGAATTCTGGGGGTAAGCCCAGAACCCTTTCTTACGCTCCCTCACTCGCCGTTTTAGTGGGAGATATCATCTGTTTTCTGAAAATTTTTGTCAATCACCGAGGTCAAGGTCAAAACTGAGGCAAATCCAGTCAATTCTTCCAAAGTCAAACCAAAGGTCAAATCTGGTCTAATCTACACTGTAAGGTCCGGAACTTGTAGATAATTCAATTAACCTCGCGTCAACGGTCATTTTACAACAATCAACAATCAACTACTGATGCCTCCCCTAACTCATCAACAATGTGTGATCATCAATGTGTTGAAATTCTAGATGATGAGCTGAGGGTAAACCGTCATGTGTGGTACGTGTTCAAATTGCTCCATACACATGTCAGGTATAACAAGCTATGAGCAATCAAACCTTGCACCATCTGAGGGGAAGTTTCGGTTTTCTCCTCCTGGCGCCATACAACGACAAAGCAAGGATTCTCTCAAAGGATGCAACATTTGAGGGGGAGTTTTCAATTTTCTCCTCCCGGTGCCAAACAATGACAAAGCATATCGAGTGCTTCAGTTGAGGGGGAGTATAGGGAGAAAATGAACAAACAAAGTTAAATGAGCGAAGATGTCCCAATGGCTTTGTAAACCTAACAAAGCCTACCCAAGGGACAAAGTCGAGAGTATGTGTGAGTGAACAATATGAGCGTTAGGATGCAGAAGGCTTAAGTGAGCAAGAAAACAACAATCAATGATAATTTGCTGCCTCAACTGCCTACTATCAATTGATCAAATTCTCTGGACAATCCACATAGGTTCAGGACTAATTTATTCAGATCCCGGGTAGAAGTCACTGCATCTTGTCCAGGGGGCTACCACTTTCATTGCTAATCTTTATGATCATGCCTTAACAACCAGAGTGACATCTACTTTAGATGCTTCACAATGATTGGTTAGAAGTCCCGTTAGAGCTCTAATGCTTCTATCGTTTTATACAGGCCACACATCAGTGTTTACATTAATGTTAGTGTTAACGGAACACCTCAGTGTATCCAGTCTTTATCATTTAACCTTTCTGTTTGTTTTCAATTTTGTTTCCCAAATAAAGGCATGACGCCCGAATTCATAAGATCGTCATGAGGGGGAGAGTAGTCCACATGTTGTTCACTATCAACAAATCATTTTTGGATACTTCTCTCCTCCATCAAAAAATGATGATGACTCTCTAGTTTCTTAACTCCAACTGCCAAGTCAGCTTCAAATCAAATGGTGAGCTACGCTCACAAGTCAACCATACTTTTCCGTTGTGCCACGTACGTACACTTTGGAGGAGACAGAGGTCAAATATTCATGTTCTGAAGATGAATCCTGTGTGCGCCTGTATATCAACCAAACACTCTTTCTAAGAGGCGTCACCGGACTTCATACAAGCTTATCAAGAGTAGCCTCTGGAAGACAAGGACTACATGCAAGATACTGAAGATCCTTCAACTCCTTAGCATCAAAGAACAAATTGGCATGAAGACATCAAAGGGGGGATTTTAAGGATTTCATCAGAAAACCTTCTCAAGAAACCGAGTTCAAAGACAAAGGAAGCTGAGCTGCACTGAAGTTCAAGACAAAGAGGAGCTACTGGACAAATCTTATCTACGCTCTCCTCTACATTGCTGAATCAACACAAAGACAAAGATATTCGTGTTGCAATGCTGATTGAACAAGATTGAACACCAAGGAGGAGATTGTTGGGAATATTTATGGTGTCCAATCTAGTTAAATATCATTGTGTTTGTGTAGTTATTAATTAAATGTGTAATATGGACCACAATTGTATATCGGCCCATTAGAGAATAGAGGCAGACTAGAGATAGAGTAGTTTTACACTGCTCTCTCTCTGGAGGGAGAGCAGCGGCCCATTTCATACGGTGTACCAAAGTTCTCGACATTTATGTATTGAATGGGAAATCTATCTGCTTCTTCTTTCATTTCTATGACTGTTTGGTTGTTAGAAATAGGGACTAACAGATAGGTTTTCCATTTTCCCATTTTGGTCGTTTTTAATTAAATTAAATATTTGGTATTTCATTTTTGAATTTTTATAATTCATAAATATGATTTGAAATATATGTACTGTAAAATAGTTTGAATTAAATCTAATCATTATGTATTAATGTATTATTGATATGAAATCATGAATTTATAATAATTTGAACTTATTATTTTTTTTCCGGTAAATATTATTAGGGAGTGTCAATTGACAAATATTTCCCCGCACTAAAGCACCGATAAGTCCGGGTGTTAATTTTTCAAATGTTTATGTTCGAGATACACGTATATATGATTCCCCTCACCCCACCCCCCAAATATTCTCTGGTTCCGCCACTTATCAAATCTCAAATTCAATGCACGAAAATCATTCTCTTTGTTCACATTAAGACTTCTTCTTATTTAATCTAGACCTTGAAATTAAACATTTTTTCAAACTTCGGGGAGTCGATTAATTTTTTAAAAAGTACGGGAATTTAATTGACATTTTAGTAAGAGTACAAGGACTAAATTTTCTTATTAATATGATAAATCTGTTAGAGATTTATGTCGAAAAGAAAAAAAAATATAGATTATACGCGTAAAAGATTACACATAATTTTTTACACTTAAAATTAAGGCATTTTAAAATTTGGGGTGGGTTGGAGCCTAAGTTGGCCCCCTAGCTCTGCTTCTGAGCTAAAATATTTTTGACACAAATTTGACATATCCCTCTCAAAAACCCTTGTCAATCCAGTTTTTTTAATAGTGTAATGTTTAAGGCTAATAGTAGTAATACGTATTTTTAAAATGGACCTAAATAGGACTAAATGGAAACTTAATTCCACAAATATGACTAGTCCTAAATTATTAACATATAGGACTAAACATTAACTGTCTACACTAAATACAACTAAGAGTATCAATTCATAATAAAATGTTTTATTCATAATAAAATCGTAAAAAATAATAAAAAACGTAAAAAAAACATTATCAAAAATTTATAAATATTTTTAAAATAAAAAAGTTTTAAAAACAATTGAAAAAAAATTAAAACATTAATAAAACATAATAAAAACCCATAAAAATATAAATAAGTATGGATGCCTTTGCCACCGCCTCTACCGCCTTCCAACACTACCACTTCCGATTGGTGAAGAAAACACCATTTTTTGTATAAAAAAATGCCATTTTTTAAGAACGTCAAGAAAATGGCATTTTACTCTTTGAGAATTCCAAAATTTTCATTGAAACTGTCAGCATTACTAATGCATGTTGATATTTTTTTGGTGACCGGAGCTAGTGGTGCTAGGGTGGCAGAGGTGGCGGTGTATTTTTTTTACGATTTTTATTTATATATACTACCTCCGTCCCATATTTATCTTCATAGTTCGGTTTACGATGCTTGACTGACGATAAAGCAACTCGATCCCTGTTCACACTTGGATTATTTTTAGTAAATAAAATTTACATATTCAGAAACTACATTAAAACCGCTACAAAGCCTGATCAAGAAAATTTAAGTTTGATAAAAATTTGATAAATAAAGTAAAAGATTAAGGGTAATTTGAGTTGACCATGTGAATAGTAACTATGAAGATAATTTTGGGACGGAGGGAGTAGTTTTTTTTTCAAAAATTTAATTCTTTTTATATATTTTTTGTTTCCATTTTTTATTTTATTAATTTTATTTAATATTTATTTTAGTCCAAAAGGCTACAAGGATATATTTGTCCAAACTCACATAAATAGTCATACTAGAGAATTTAAACAATGCAGTCCTACTTGTGATTTCTTACTATCTTTTACTCATGGAGTCATGGGTAGGTAATTCATTCTCCATATTTTAAGATGGAACTGTTAATGAATTCACATGAGAGCATAAGTAAATTTATTATGTTAATTACCTCCAATAGAAAACAGAAGCAACACTAGCCAAAACGAAGGGAATTAGAGAGTAGACTCCCCGCCTGTCGTCCACTCTTTCAATCACGAAGATAGTAAGGATACCCGCCATTGCAATAGCCATCTGATCAAATTAAAGCTAACGATCTTCAAATTTCAAATACTTCAAATATATCAATAATGAGGCACTACATGTACATTATGATTAGGGGTTATGTCATAAATATTACTCCCCCCGTCCCATTTATATTGTCACAGCTCCTATTTACTTGGTCAACACAAATCACTCTTAATTTCTTACTTTATATATCAAAAATTTATCAAATTTGATTCACGTTTTTGCGACTTTGTAAAGCTATAAATGTAATTTCTTAATATGTAATTTTTTTCCGTAAAAATAATTTGAGTGCGGACAGGGATCTGTTTGCTTTATCGTCGGTCAAACATCGTAAACCGTAAAGAGACAATATAAATGGGACGGAGGTATGGAAAAAAAAGTGAACTTTCTCTTTAATTTCCAAAAATGTGACTAATAAACTGTGCACTTACTAAACTACCCCTAACCTCTATTGACCTTAGCAAATAGTGACCTAGTCCGCCACAGTGACCTACCATATAGTGACCTCCGCCATAGTGACCTTCGCCAACCACCGCCGGCAGCTGCCGGCCACCATGACAGTGACCAACCTTATAGTGACTTTCGCTCCTCCGACTTGAGGTCAATACGTACTACATGTGCGGAGTGATGTACTTTGACCATGACCAACGCCATACCCACCGAGAAACCATTTGATAAGTTCTGTTCATGTGTCTATGGGATTATCGGCGTATAGAGTACCTAGAGTAATCAAAGTTTTCACTCATGTTCCCTATCAGTGACCAATTAAAATAGTGAATTCCACCCAGTGACCAATTGATATAGTGACTCCCTTCAGTGACTAACGCCCGCCCGTTCAGTGACCGTTTTCCCGTCCAGTGACCAATATCACTTTCCGGTGACCAACGCCCACCGCCGCCCAGTGATGACGTCCACCCCCACCGAGTGACAACGTCAACCGCCGCCGCTGGACACCGCCGGACACCACCACCCCACCCGTACTCGATTCCCCCACCCACTCCCTAGCCCTCAGCCCCTGGCCAACCACCTCCCTGCCCTTGCCCCCAGCCCCAATCCCTGCACCGTTGCTACCCCAGCTCCCAAAATGCCATTAATAAAAAAAGCAAGCCTGGTAGCGTCACCGCCGACCCCCGCCGCGGACGCAGATCTGAATCCCGGTGCCGCCGGCGCTGAGACGAAACCCTAGCTGCCCAGATCTAAACATGCACGTAGGTGCTCTGCCGCTAGTGATTCGAAAGTCGCGGTTCAGATTTCGATTTCGTTTTGTATGTGAATCCATAGGCTATGGTTTGTGCGTGGCAGTGCAGATAAATCGCGACCAGAAGAAGGAGAAGAACAGATCCATACCTTCGATGGCGTGAAGTGGAAGCGGTGGCGCGGGACGGGGAAGGCGATTGCCGCGGCACAGGATGGGGAAGACGACCGCAACGGCACAGGACAGGGCTGGCGACCGCCGTGGCACTGGAAAGAGGCGGCGACTGCGACGACTTTGGACGGTGTCGGGCATTTGCAATTCTGGAGTCAGGGAGATGCGGGTCGTTGGGGATGGCCGAAATTGGGTTAGTTTAGGGGTTTTATGTCAGGGTCATTTTAGTCTTTCAATTATAATTATGGTCTCTTTTCTGTCCGGATGAAGAATAGTCCTATTTTTGTCATATTGAGTGCTGAAGTAATATTTCAGTCATTCTTTCTTATGATTATTATTTCAAGTATGCCGGAATATATAAAGAGAGGATGGAGATCAAATAAAAAAGAGTCTTAACATGTCAAATGAGATATATTCACTTTTACAACAATTGTACCATACATTCTGGAGGTCACAGAACCTGAAATAAGGCTGGACCTCTGGTGCGCACGGGTGTATGGCCTACTGCCACACTGCTGACTGAGTCACCGTGACTTACATCCTCTCATGTGCTCTGTCGAGTCGGGGCGTGGGGGGCGCTTGGGGTTGGCGATTCAACCTTTTGGACAATTGTACCATACATTCTTCTATTTAATTAGTGCACTTTTTCGTGTTTCTAAAAACGTTACTTATTTACAAAATTGCCACAACAACTTTGTAACAAATGCATTTTTTGTCTCCTCAAAGTGCAATAGCTTATAATGCAAGTGCATCAAAAAGGTGATTTGTAAGTGCAATTTGCACTTTTCGCATGTTAAGAAAAGGAGAAAGTTCCCGAAATAGGACTAAATAAGTTTGAAAATTCCAAAATAGGACTGTCATGTTTTTATTCCCAAAATAGGAGTAATTATTGTCAAATTTGGAAAATACTGTCATCTTTAAAGCCTGGTACTGCCAAAACATGACAGTAATTAGTCCTATTTTGGTAATTTCTCTAAGAAAAGCGGGCGGCCCTAGGATACGTTTAGATCATGATGCACATTTCTAATTAAAATGATGCACATCTTCAATAATTCGAAGAGATCATATATGAGCCATCATCATATATTAAATGGGCGACATTAATTGAGGTCTCATTGGATCACATTTTTACATGTGTGTATACAATTTTTAATACATATAAAATTATGATAAAGGCTACTATGAATATATTTTGTGTAAAATTTGGGTATAAGTTATTATGAATTGAGTTACTACTATAGTCACTACAAGATGTTACACTTTTATTGTTTTTTAATAGTAAATAATTAAAATGAAGGATAAAAAGTGTGAAAGAGAATAAGAAAAAGGAGAAATAAAGGTAGAAAAAGAAGAAATGAAAAATGTATGGAAGAGAATGTGAAAATGTAACACTCGTGATGTTTTTACCTGGACTGTAATTTTCTGGTCTGATCTAAACTGGTAATGTCTGGTCTGGTAATGTATGGTCTCTTTGTATTTTTATATCTATCCAAACTGGTCTGATCTAAATTGGTCTGATAATGTCTGATCTCTTTGTATTTTTATAACTATCCAAGTCTGTTCTGAATTGATTTCATATGATCTGAGACGGATTACAGTCCAAATAAAAACATCCTCAATCAGTGAAAGTAAAAGGAGGTGAAGGAGTATTGAAGAACTCACGGGCAAGCGGTCCCACACGAGGGTAGCATCATTGGGCTTGAGATGGTAGTAAGACGATCCAAATGCAACTGCGGCAATGCCTATGTAAAAACATGTCCATCCCAATACCTCCCCTTTCAAGCTTTTCGTTTTGATCGATCAGCCCAGCCGGGCCCACATTTTCCAAATTAATTAGAGTTGTATCAGTTTGTGTGTGTATATATATATACAATCTTTGTATATAATTTTGTTTTTCGAATTAAATACATGCATGCGACCTGGCAGGATTGGTATCAATCATATCAGCGCATGCATGCAAATAAAAAAGAAATTAAAAACCCAAACATTAATTAATTAATCTACAATGCCGGCCGGTACACTACAAAAAAACACGGGATTGACAGGGATTTTGGCAGAGATTTGGCAAGGATTTTGGCAGAAATATACCAAATCCGTGCCAAAAACACTTTGGCACGAGCTATTTGGCACGAGAAATCGGTAAGTCCTTGCCAAATTCCGTGTCAATCCCGGAATTTTTTTGTAGTGGTAGAGCACGTACATACATTTTTCTGCATATATAGAAGATGGAAGTAATAATTAAGGATTTTCACCTTATCTTGAAATAGTTCCTGTGGTAGCACAGTAGCAACCCAGCCACCCCAATCGCAAAGAATGGCAAATTCGAAATCACGTTTAGAGTATACGGTATCCCTACAAATACACACACACACAAAAAGGAGAACTTTGAGTAATTATTTTAATTAATATATTTATACAAAATTTAATAATTTTATACTTTTATGATACTATTTTTAACAAAAAACATTATCATATCATTTTCATATTATCAATACTTTCTCTATACAAATAGAATACAAATAAATTAACAGTCAAAGTTAGATATCATTGACTTAAAAAGTCAAATTTAGCTAACTAAAATGGGACGGATGGAGTAATATGAATACTTTTAGAAATAATTTTACACGTAATTTTTATCTCAAAAATTTTGTCATTTTTTAAATTTGGTGTGGATCAGGGCCTAGATCGCCTCCATGGGTTTGTCCATGGCTCCATGCATATACATACTAGGACAATGTAATTTGAAATTGTACGGCGTTATACACTGTTGACCCTTTCACTACCATCTATCCTATTTTTAAAGGTGACAATTCCGGTACCCTTCTAAAAATGGGGTACCGTACCTACCATTTATTGAATAGGTAATCATGCATGGAAGGCAAATCAATTGTATACAGATAAATCAAAATCGGTAGCACCTTGGAACCTGTGACAAGAACTATTGAGTAGTTTTTTGGGAAAAGGTGCAAATAGGCCCATGTACTAACCAAAAAAGGTCAAATAAGCCCTTATTTAGGAAGTTCTGTCCGGCCGTCGTTATTTGGGGTGGTTCCCGGTGGAATATTTTGATAAGATTGTTTGAGCATCTTATTCATCAAGTCTAGTTTACTCATACCAAATTTCAGCAAAAACTTCAATCGGGAAGGCATTCAAATGAATTCTTGAAAATAACTGCACAGTTAGAAGCGCAGTTATCTTCAAGAATTCATTTGAATGCCTTCCCGAGTGAAGTTTTAGCTGAAATTTGGTATGAGCAAACTAGACTTGATGAATAAGACGCTCAAAAATTTTCATTGAAAAATTCCACCGGGAACCACCCCAAATGACGACGGCCGGACAGACCTTCCTAAATAAGGGCTCATTTGACCTTTTTTGGTTAGTACATGGGCCTATTTGCACCTTTTCCCTAATTTTTTCCATAGTTCCATCTGCACTTCTACAGTGGCGTTAGTCAATCGTTTGGCACATAGAACATGAATCATTAACAAAACATAAGATGCAACAAGGAGGAGGGAAAGACCCGAACATACTTGAATTAGAGGAATCACAACTGATATGTTTATTCTTTGGTTGTATGAGAGTATGACTTTGGCCAGAGTAAAGTGGAGGAAGCTTATGCGTGTAGACGATTGTTCTGTTTTCTTCACTTTCTCTTTCTTTCTTTCTTTTATCTTTTATTTTAATCAGCATTCTATGTTCTTATGTTCATATTTTATTTTAATCTTTTATTTTTCTTATGTTCTTTATCTCTTTTATCTTTTATCTATCTTATGTTATTATTATCTTATCTTTTTATTTTTCTTATATTTCTTCTCTTTTTTTGTTTCGATATTATGGATCGATTCATGTTAGTCGACCTCAAATGCTTTTGGAAATAAGGTCTAGATGTTGTTGATTATTAACATTATTGATCTCAAATTCAAGTGGCCGGACGCGTTTTGGTCAGAAAACGGTGAAAATCTAGAACGGATACATACACTCAATTTGTCAAAGTGAGAATGCATCTGATGCATTAAATTTGAGATCTTATTTCAAATTAAGATATGTGTCTATATATAGAACAGAGCAAACGTGAATCCTTCTCATTTCTCACGTTAAGATATATGTGTATAGTTGTGTTTCTTAATAAATCATTTGGTAAGTGTTCAAAAAAGGATCATCACTGGTGCACGCTTTACAATAAAATTTTCACTTAACACCTCAATCCTTAAAAATATTGTCAAAATGTCCCTCTCAAATTCAAAGAATAGAATACCTCAAAATGTCCCTCTATACTAATATTCTCAAAATGTCCCTCTTAGTAAGTGAATTACAAGGAATAGAATACCTAAAAAGGACTATCACTGGTTCGCAATTTTAATTTGTTCTCTCTTCAAACCCTCTTGCTCCCTTCGCAATCTTGGGTATTGTATTTATGCCGTCATGTATGGGCTGCTAACTCGATATGGCGTATATGAACTTTGCTTGCAAGTTGCAATGAAATTTCTTCTTTGTTAATTCTTTCCTTATTAGCTTCTCTAATTGATGCTTTCCTTTTATTTGGATCTTAGGAATGTGATTGAGATTGACTCTTTAATTTTAAAACTTGATGTCTTTCTTTATTTGTTCCTTCCTAAATCACGCATATTGGTTCCGTATATGGTAGTTCCCTTTACCATTATCATTTTGACCTAGTCTTATTTTCGAAGGAATTCTTAACAATTAACATACTGCGCATGGCATAAGATTAATTATAACCATGTAATCAACAAAAAAACATGTTAAATAATACGGAGTATATATTTAACGTGTACAACATTTATATCCTCGTTTTAGCCGTATTTAGGGTATCTTCTCTTTTATTTTCCCAATTTAAAAAAAATGGTGAATTCTATGGTACCCATAAGGTACCATACATTTGTCCACATGCAGGGGCGGAGCCAGAAAAATGACTCAGCGGGGTCGAAATCAAATTTACATAGAATCAAAACGGTAGATTACTTTTAGACAATACCCGAATTGAATGTAGCTTAGATAAATGATAGTTTAAATGAAACTAATAGAGTATATGTGGTTAATATACTTCGTATATGTCACATATATTATAAACATGTTTTATACGGGTTGAGTTGAGTACCTCGGATGAGACCCATTGTCTTACCCTAGTAGTCTATGGTTCTCTTCAATCTTACTCGGTTTAGTATCAAGATTTCTTACTAGAAAAGAATCATTTATTGAGTAGGCACTCATAGCAGTAAAATATGTTGTATTTGTTCTGTCCCTAAGTCATGTCACGTAATTAACGAGTGAATTACACGCTATTTTGTGAATATAATTAATATTACGCATCACAATTTTACTAATTTCAAACTTAAATAGTGCTGATTTTGCAGAAGTCATAACTTTTTACTCGTAATGAGTTACGAGAGCCATAATATATCAAATCGAAGATATTTCAGAGCTCTACAATCTTAAATTTTCAGCGGGGTCGGCTGACCACCCTGACCCCCCAGTAGCTCCGCTCCTGTCCACATGGACAAATGAGAATGTAGCAGTTGAATTATTTAAATCTAAATTAAAAATCATAAAGTGATGTGGTCCAATCAAATAGAAGGGTACCGGAGTTGTCACCTTCAAAAAATGCTTGATTATATATTTTGAATGTGGTTTGGTCTATGTATTGCCAAGCCTGTTATTTTAAGAAAGGATCGTTGCACTTACGAGAAGGATTCAAAATCTACATATAAAAGGGAGGAATTTTATAAGATTCCATGGTAAGTCTCAAACATAGAAGACACGGTCATACAAAGGAAGACAATCCCAACAGTCCCAATGGATCAACTCTGGTGATCTATATATTGAGATTTCAAGGGTGAGCTCAGGGCCGGTCCTGGGGCATGGGCAGGAGAGGCATGCGCCCAGGGCCCTTTGCTCCAGTAGGGCCCATAAAATTTTAAAATGTGTGTGTATGTATGTACATAAATATTTTAAATATATATAAATTATATTTTATAAAAAATAAAAAATAAAATCAAATTTATATTTTAGATACTTCTAATTTGTTATTTACCATGTACACGATACAAGTCTATAATTTTGAAACATCCACATTAGAATTCATTGGGAACATATTTCACCATTTCTTTTGAATCATTAAGGATTATTACATTAATTTTAATCTTTTAGTGTACATGTCTTATGTATATCCATTGATATATTTCACAAATTTCTTCCGATTCTCTCATTTAGTGAAAGATTGAACTTTAGTGTCCATAATTTAGAAACTTGGAATTTGTTTTTGTCTAGTGAAAGTGTGATTTAAAATATGAAAAAGTTACTCATACAAGATATAACTTTCACAAATTCCCTTGATTCGAAATTTTTATTGCGCCTTATAGTTGCACTACTTGTTTCACTCGGTTGTTAGGTACATTGTATCCTCGAATGTCACTTATCAATACGCTCTTTATATATTTTCTAACCATATGCTTTGTTAGTTTTTTTATGTGTTATACTGGTATTTTGACGGTAAAATTGTATAATTTTAAATTATAGCTTTTCGTGCGCTATCCCTAAGGCCCAGTCTATTTGTATTGTCCCGGGCCCATAAAATGTCAGGACGGGGCCTGGGTGAGCTTGACTGAGACAAGTTCTTGGAACAGTTAGTTCTAGCTTTGAGAATGCTTCTTCCTTCTTATAAAGGGGTTCGATAGATGTAGACATTTTGTGGCTCACATTGTTAAGAAAAGCTTATCAAAATTGTATAATATCATTCGAATAAGATCAAAGATATTTTATTTACTAATATTTATGTGGTTATCTCTCATGCCACATGTGCATCGTTAACATTGTAGATTGAAGGTGCTCTAATCTTTTTATATATTCAACTTTTATAGAATTGGAGTTTTTATGCGACTTTATAAAAAAAATTAATGTGGTTATTGAACATATAAATTTCACGGAGTATTTGTTAGAAAAATCTAATTACGAACATGTATTAATTTATTTTATGTTCAGTCAAACATTGTAAATCGTGTGGGAACATTTATTCTACGAGACGGAGGAACGAAGGGAGTATTTGATTGTGTTTTTGTTATTCCATACATAGTCTTTTATATGACGAAGGGAGTATTTTGTTGTATATTTTTTTTATTGTGTTTTCATATATTCATTTAACATTTTAACTAGTTATTGTTGTGATATTGATTCTTTTATTTAAAAAAAAAACAAAATACTCGGTAAGGGCCTTATTGCCACTGAATACATTAAAATAACTAAATAAGTACTCCATGTATCATGTACTTCGTATGTAGTTTTGAAAGCTTTTAAAATTGGTAGTAATAATGTCTGTGGTTTTGAATTTAATTTGATAA